CATTCCAATGGCAAGCTACAAATTTTGCAAAATAATGTTGCTTTGTTTAGTAAAGCGATTTTTTATGTAAAAGAAAAAAAAAATTAAAAATATCATAAATTAAATCAAAGTTGGCAACCCCGAAAAAATATCAATTAAATAAATAAATACGAAGAAAATAGAAAATGCAACTAGGTCAGGGTGGAAGTGCGACTGAGATGCACGGGCGGATGAGTGAGGGAGACAGCAATCGAGAATCGAGTTGTGCAGCGCAGAAAGGAAAAATCAATGCGCATTCTCTTCTGTTTGTTTTCTCTGGCCCTCTCTCTCAGTCTTTTTCTTTCTCTCTCGCCGATTGCATCTCTCGGCTGCACAAATCCAACCCATTCCCCCACCCATTTGACATTGCAAAATTAGTGCAAAGCTGCGCTGCCGGCGTCGGCAGAATCGCAAACGGCGAATGTGGCACAGGGTCAACTGGCGACCCATTAGCACACTTTTCCACGGGGGCGGCGAGGGGTTCGGGGTTTGGGGGAGTGGCGGTATGACTATATGGTTATAGGAGCCAGACGCCCCAGACATTGCGAGAGTGCGAGACTCACTCTCAATGGCATTTGCCTTTTTTTTCTCGAGCTAAGGTTAACAACAATAAAATGGTCAAAGCGACGCAGTAACAATAACAGCATTAAATAATACAAAAAAAAGACAAACAGTTTTCCATTTGCATCATCAAACAAATGAAAAATGTTGCTGCAACAATGGAAGATAATTTTATGGGCGATTATTCAAGATTAGGGGAATGTATTTATATGTAAAGAATTTATTACCACTAGAAAATTATGAATTTACAAAAATCTTAGATCAGAGTTAACATCCACCTTTCAGATAGTTAAACGAATGGATGAATGGAACATTTATCTTTCAGATAATAAATATTTTTGCTATAGCTGATAGCATTTAAAACAAATGGCACTAGAATGGTTTTCTTTGTTTTTCTAATAATAAGTAAAGCAGAATGCGGAACATTTTTTAACTATAAGAGTTACAAACATTATCATAATGATGAGGTTAATTTTAAAAGGTTCCAAACAAGAATAAGTGTAAACTGTTACTTAAATTTTTTTTTTAGTAAATTTTTTTGTTGCTGGATAAAGTGTTGATTGGCAACTACTTCTCAATTTTAGGTATTTTGTTTTTAAGCAACACCTCCTAAAGAAGTTAACTTGAACAAGTATAGACTCTCCTATGTTAATATATTCTGTTTTCAATGTAGACCATGAAGGGTTCAACGCTCCTAAACTACATATTTGAAGCCTTAATTGCGAATAAAAAATTTCACACAACAAAAAAATGTATCATGCAAAGAAAAACAATCCTGTGAAACGCGACTAATAAACCAATTACTATGCACATAGCTAAACAATTTTCAAAGCAAAACCTAACTCCCAACCTCCCCCTTCGATTAGCTGTTCTAATTGCTTGCATTATCATTTTATAATTGTTATTGTTTTGTTGTTACAATTGAACGCTTCGGTTTTGTGTTATTTCTGCTCTTAAGGGCAAGCGCGGCTCCACTAAACTAAACTTGATATTTTTCAATGCTCCATCCTTGATTGCATTTACAAGATTTCTGTTTTCTGATCGCTTGACTAAGTCTTATTGTTTAGACATTGTTTGTGTTTAGTTTAGGTTCAATTACCAATTTGTGGTTTGGTTTTCCAATGGCGAATCGTGAGAAAGAATTGGAATTCAACGCAAGTGTGAATGACCAACATGGAGGATAGAATTTGAGGGATTTTCCACTTGCTTCAAATAATTGTTCACTAATTGCACGTAATATAATTCAAAGACCAAACGTTTGGCCATTAAGCCATGTATAAATTAAGGGAATTACTTGTACAGTTTAAAATTCGATAAATCAATTCTTTTCGACTTAGTCATTAAATAAATAAGAACACCAAGTTAAATCGGAGGTTTGAGTTAATGGTTTGTCATGACCTTATTTGCTGCCTACAATTTAATAATCAAAAAAATTTAGAACTGCCAACCAAATGTGCATTAAACTGTCTTGTATAAATGTGTTATAAAAATTGTTATGTAAAGCATAACTTAGTTCGTTGACACTTCGTTCTTAATTAAATAAACCCTTTCCAGTTACCAGCAGATTCAACCGTGTCTTAACGTGTTTTTTCTGACCTTTTTACGCTGAAACCAAGTCAATCTATATTTTGCACTGCTCTTTTAAATCTTTAAACTTTACCCAAGGCCAAACATTCCGCCCGTTTACCAAATCCTTTTTCAAAGTCAAGCCCAATCGCAGCCACAAAACAACCTGAGGGTCGGAGCTTAAATCAGACACGGCAGACACAATTTGCATATAGAACAGCCATGAAAACACAAGGACACTCCGGGGGGTGGTGGAAATGTCCTTGGGACACGGCCCACTACAACGACGACAGCCTTCGCATCAACCCAAGGACCTTGAAATGCATTCGACGCTAGAACCAGTGCATATAGCATACGTACATACATACATACATAGATATATGCTATATGCAACAGTCAATGCCGCGCCCCAATTCGTTTTCTTTTTGCGCATTTTTCAAAATGCAACAAGCTGCTAGCTGACTTTGACCCATTTAAATCCTTTGAGGTGAGCATAGACGCACGAGAACGACGCCGGCAGAGCCGCGGCAGCGGTGCAATCTGTGTCAATGTCAGCCGGCGTTGCGGGCGGCAGCGGCGGCGTCGTCGTCGGCAAATAAAACCAACTGAGGCAGAACCGCGCCACCACAAATGCTGCACCGGAAAAACATCAACGCAATATCTTCACATAAAAGGAAAAGTGCATTTTAATAGCAATTTATTTTCAAGGTTTTTATAAAACGGCAAACCTAACTAATAATAAAAGCAAATGTTTATTTGTTATCATTTCTTTAAATATACTATACTGTATGATAGTTACTGCACGCAACGTAGCAGCACATAATCATCTAGCTCTTTAATTTCTTAAATATATCCACCATTTTAAAAAGGTATTTACTTAGTTTATATTATTTTACGAAATTTAAATGAGATTAAATTTTAGCATAATTTACTGACATCAATGTTGTAACATACCCATATATTTAATTTTAATTTTGTTTTTTGAAGAAACCAAAAGATTATACATTTTTCGCTAAGTGTAGACGGGGAGAGTGTGCAATAGAGAGCGAAAGAGAGGGGGCGAGCGCACCCGACTCGCTGCGCTGACTGCGACGCCGGCAGCGCTGCGGCTGATGCACACAATGACCTTCAAATTTCTATGCAATTTCGCTTTTTGTTTTTGTCTCGCATCCTTGGGCCCAATCTCCAATATTAGAAAACGCAAGCGAGCGCAACAACGATTCGTTTGCGCTTGACCCAAATTCTAATACCCCCAGTGACCTTGCTCCATTTTGCCTCTCTTTCTAAGGATGAAACAGAAGCAGATGGAAAATTTAAGCTGCACTTTGGGGGTTTCCCCCGAAGGCTGCCGAGTGGCTGAATTAAATGCCTCTGGAAAGGGGCAAAAGATGCGTCTGTGGTTTTGACATTGCTGAATGTCAATAAAGTTAATTTAAAAAGCCAGTATCATGCCGCCAAATGGTGTGTAAAAAAACAAACAAACTGCTGACAAGCAGCCAACAGCTTTACATACAAATGTCTGTAATGTTTGATCATTCGTCATCAACATTTCGCAGGGGTCTGTCTCAGTTTACTTATTTAATTGCTATTCACGCATCGACACACGAATCGAGCCAATTTTTCTTCATTTGCATTTTGACATACTCTTCGACAAGATAGGGCGATATTTACTCAAAGATCCAGATCACCTTTTAAAGGGTTACCAATTATTTGGAGTGTAATTTCATATATTCTTGCGATAACTTCTTTGTTAATATATAAGATATAAAAATATAAAATCATACATTTGATTCCAAATGACAGTTTAAGCAAATAAGTGTAAAAAAGCACGATTCAAGTGCTCCCAAATATGTAAGTTTTGGGCAAAAGAGCATTTTATTTTCGGCTTTCTCGAAACAAAACCCGAAAGTAGGTTAGTTGCATTTTTATAGACATTTCAAATTGATTTTTATGGCTGCATCCGACGCCGGACCGAACAACATGGAGCTAAGTGCGAGGCCAACTGAGCGGAAAAGGGGATACGGGGACTCGGGGATTCGGGGAGGAACCCCGCGAATACTCTGTGCATATTTAAACTTAGCATTGCACTTGGCACACTAAGATTTAAGACGACCGTCTGGCCGGCCGACCGACTGGAAAACGCAGGGGCGGTCACGCCAGTAATGACAAGTTACTGAAAACACCAAGGTCTGATTCAATTTAAATTGAAATTGTAAAAATGTAACACTCGTCAGCTGAAATGCGTGATGGATTGGCTGCATTTTAACTCGTAACTCGTAATGGTTATGTGTTTTAAACACCTTTTTGATTTGTCGGCTAAAGGTCTCCTATTTAGAAGTCGTAATCAGGTCTATTAAATACTCGTAAATGTCTGGCATTTAAAACAATATTAAATTAAATCGATAATAGGTTGTTTACGGCTTTGTTGATTAATTATTATTTTTTTTATTTTATTTTATATTATTTTATGATCTTCCTTTTTGTTTGGGTTTTGGTTTTGGGTTATTACATTTTAATAATTTAAGCACTGTGTTTTAAAAGGACTTGTTTTCGAACTGAATCGCATTTTGATTAAGTGTTATTATAAATCATTTTTATTCAAATTTCCCACAATTAGTTTTTATTATACATATTTCGATTAAAATGTAAATTAGGTTTTTTCCACACTCGCGTTTTGAATGGTTTGATAAATAATTGATTATTTCTTTATTGTTTTATTTCTTTAAGTTCCATCAGCTTTATCAGCTTTCCACATTTTGCAGCAACAACATAATATTGCTTGCTAACTTGCCAAGGAAATTGATGAGTGGTAGTGGAGAAAAATAGTGAAAATAGTAGACATTGTATAGACTTACCTCCATTATCGTCGATTTCCAGACCGAATTCGTCCTCGGACATGGACTCATCGTCGGTGCTGAGATTGGATCCGCTGTGGTTGCCGCTCTGCATGTGGTGTTGCTGATGTTGTTGATGTTGCTGATGCTGCAGCTGCTGCGGCGTTGTGCTGGCACTGCTTGTGTGGTTGCTGTTGGGCGACGTGGTTTTTGGGGCACAGGAACTGGCGGCCAGCTCCTCAATACTGTGCAACGAGCTCCTTGTCGGATTGGCAGTGCTATTATTGGATGTTGTCGTTGTGGGCGTAGCTGCAGCTATGGTTGTTGCACCCGATCCCGATCCTGATCCTGATCCTGAACCAGATCCCGATCCCGATCCCGTTCCTGTTCCCGGTCCAGAAGTGGTGGTGCTGATGTGACTATCATCCTTGCCCACCTGCACCTCAAAGTCCAGCAATTGAGCCGTGGTCGAGGATAGGAAATTACTGGTGGAAACGGAAGTCGATGAATTGACTTCAAGTGGTTTCAATTGATGATATTCCACGGGCGGCACAATAATGCTGCTGCTGGTGGTGCTGTTTTGAGGATTCTTTTGCAACAAGGCCGGATCAATGCACTCGTTGGCGGTGCGGTGGGAGGAGAACAAGATATTGGCAAACGATGGCATCGTCACCGATTCGATGATCACCGAACTGCCGTTCGATGGCCGCACTGCCTTAGCCTCCACGTTGTTGTTGTTATTGTTATTACTGTTGTTGTTGTTATTATTGTTATTGTTGGTGGGGTTGGCTGTTGCTGCTGTCGTAGTGCCCATCAGAGTCAGGTTGCTATTGCTATTGGGATTTGGACTGGCCACAAAGAAGCGCTCGCACAATCCACTCAAGGAAATGCCGCCATCCAATTGACTGGCATCGATCGTTTGCAATGAACTAAAGTTATCGGAGGTGGCCGATGTTGCTGCCGATGCAACCGTTGTTGCTGCAGGTCCCACTGCTGCTGTTGCATCCTTCTGTTGCAACTGCAACTGCGAGTAAAAGGGCAACATTGGAGTGCTGCCCGCGGCCAGCATTTGATCCTTGTGATGGTGTGGCATTAGGAGTTGCTGCTGCTGCTGCTGATGTTGCTGTTGCTGCTGCTGGTGTTGCAGGTGGTGATGGTTGCTGGTAGCTTCTGTTGCATAGTTGTTGCTGCTGCTCTCCGCCAGCATAGGTACGTTGAAGGAATCCATTTTACTTTCTTATTTTAACTTTACTTTTGTACGTTTCGTTGTGATGTGTGGGATTTGTTTTTGTTTGTTGATTCTTAATGGCAGGTAACGATAGTAATTGTAAATTTTAAATTGCTTTGTATTTTAAAGACCTGGAAAAGGAACAAATTGTTCAGAATCGTTATTAATTTGTCAAATAATACTATCAAGGATGTGGGACAAGGATTTTACAGGCCTAGGTCAATCCAAGGTCGCGTTGAAGGTTACGTCAAAAGAATGTGGGCCAAGGAAGAGTCAAATGGGTTTTCAAAGCAGGCCAAGGTCAACTCTTTATGGGGAGGAAAAGCTTTTGTGAGCTTTTTGGGAGTAATTTGATTATCCAGCCAATTCGCTTGAATTTGTATGTTCAGTTAAATTTAAATTTAAAAATTTAAATTTAAATTTAACATTTAACTCCTTGAGGCCGGTTTATAGTTAATATGGAATAAAACTAGACCTTGTTTGCACATATATTTCTTGACTTAAAATTATTAAAAAAAAAAAAAAAAGTTTCCATCCTGTTCGGCTTGCGAACTGTTATTTAAAACAAAAAATCGTAGTCCCCCGTTCTCCAAAAGGATATGTACATACATATATGTACATATATATGTACATGCTGATGTCAATATTTAGTAATTTATTTTAGTAATTGTCCACTGTTTAAGAATGGTTTTAATAAAACCAATTGATAAGATTTAAAACCAAACCTTTCTTGCATTAAAGACATTTAAAATTAAGTTCATATTTGAAATTAGTATGCAAGTTTTGATAAGCTTAATGCACATCTTTCAATGAAATTCATTTAAAAAAGTTGCAAGTGCCCAAACAGGAAAAAAAGGGTATACTATTTTATCCCCCTTAGCTAAAATAGTTTTCCAGTTCACAAAACAAGCAACTGGATCTTCTCCCCGCTCGTTGAACCCTGTGAACTCCCCTCTCAACCGAGACTTTAATTAACTTTACGCGACTCCAAGTTCTGTACTTTCCGGTGTCCAATCTCATCAACCCTCTTGTCCTGTACAGAGAAAACTTGATTTATTTAAACTTGCAATATTCTCCATATTATAATTTGGAATTGACTTGTTGTTTAAAAAGAATTATTATTTTCCACTGGACTTTACATAGATTGTAAAAAAAAAAATTAAGAGGTCTAACTTTTATATTTAATATTTTAAGCCTTTTGTTGATCCTATAAAATCATGAATATGTCAAGACAGTAATTTTTTTCTCTGCATGATCTTTTTTGCCTTAAGAAAGAAAATACAATAAAATAAAGCTCTCCCAACTAGACAAAAGGTTAAATGGGGTTTTTGGGGAAGGAAAGGGATCGAAAGGAAGTTGGGAAGTGGGGAGAATTGAGAATTTACCTTTTATGCAGCTGACGTTGATGTTTTTCCTTTTGTAGTTTTTTTTTTGCGCATGCGCCCGGTTTCCATGAATTCCAAGACAAAGATCGCGGAAGAAGAAGAGCTGGAAGCGGCCCCTCTTACTCTCTCCCTCTCTCTTTTTATGTATACAAAAACCAGTTGGAACCGAAAGCAAAAGTTCTATTATTAAGTCGTGGTCTTGTTGATTTTGTTGTTGCTCTCCCTCTCTCTCTGTCTCGCTCTCAGTGTGGGAATTCGCATGTGAAGAACGCGAATTTATAATTCGCAAAACAAAGCTTGCGTGTGATTCATTTCGCCGATCGTTGTTGGTGTGTCTCCCGATCGCTCTCTGGCTCCCCGAGAGCTTTTTCAGCATATTTCACACGCACACACACGCGACGCCGAACGCATTTGGCGATTTTTTTATTTTTTTTTTTTATTTATTTCGCATTTATTCCCATGTTGTTCTCCTCCTATTCTCTGCTATTTCCTCTTCCCGATTTTCACACACGCGCGCAACAAGCGAAAGCTCGCAGAAACAACAACTATAAATTGCAATTCCTACTACACAAACACACACGCACACCCTCATACGGCGTATATACACATATATACTGGGGTTCTGCTGGGCATTCTGTGTTGTTGTTTTTCCGTTTGCCTTTGCTAATTTTGCCTTGTTTTTGCTCTTGCTCCAATTCTATGACACAACGCTTTCTTCCCACTTGGTGTTAATTTTTATACAAAATTGCACATCGAAATTCAGCGAAAGACGCTGGCGAGGGTGGGAAGGGGAAGGCGAAACACACTCCCGTTACGGACGCATCGGAAATAATAAATACACACACAATTAATGCCAGAGTTCTGTTCCGCTTTGTTTACTTTCACTCTCACTTTCTTGGCTATCGCTTTCTGGGCTATTGTTTATTCGCTGGCTTCACTTTTTCGGGAAAAACTATTCCGCGCACATCGGACGCAAAAAATTAGGTCTGTAGGCCACAACGACTCGAACGGGAGAACACACAGTAAAAAGTTGTTGGCGTAGGTAGAAGAAGACTGAAAGCCCTCGCACACACAGACGGGATAGGATAGTGTTGGGTCTCCGGAGAGCGGGGCCAAGGACAGGGACAGAGAGGCAGCATTCTTGGCCTTTAAAAAATCGTTTGAAGAACAAGGACGGCAATCATATGAAACCCGGAAAGCTTTCAGCTGAAAGCACTCGCATGTACCCACACTAGTGCACTGCAATCCGTCGTGAGGCAAGCTTTCGCGGGCGACACCTGACGGAAGTGAGCTCCCCCTACGCGGCGATAAGCTGAACCTGATTTAAAATGATCGATAATTAAAAATGTATGTTTTGGCGGTTTTTAACTTAAAATAATAACTGCTATAGTCATCGTAACTGTAGGTATTTAAATTGCTATCAATGTTTTGTTTACTTTTATAAAGCATAACATTTTTAATTTTTCTAAATATAGTTTCTAAATGAACAGAATTAACCTGTTTCAATGTCTTTAACGACTTTTATAGTTTCTTGAGTCAAAATTTGTTGTCCTTAATTCTTTCGTAAAACCGATTTTACTGGTCCTCACCTTTAGGCATCCTTGCTTTTAAAATTATCTGGTGAGCCTGTCATTGAAATTGAAATTTTGAAGTTTTACAAGCTAGCCAACTTGGGGGGTTTAATTTTCATTCTCCTTATAATGACCTATCTCAATATCATACGATTTGAACCACTTTTAAACCTGGAACTTAAATTAACCTTATCTCGAACCTTGCTAGGTGCAAACTTATCGTCTCTCCCCAATCTTGTTTCCTCCTATCTTGAAAATCGTGTTCTTTATCGCATTTTATTAACTTACCTTGGTGCTTCAAAGCCATATAATTGAATTCGTAAATAAGTTCTGGTGTTATTAAAGAGATGTTCAGAAGATTAAAATATGTACTAATAATGTACTATGCTAATTGGATTGTGGTTCTTCCATGTAAAGTCCACTAAAGATATTAAAGCTCTCTTTTAATACTTTTAAAACCATGTTTTAATAACAATGCATAATTTTACCTGGGTCTCTGGTAGCCATCTTTCTTTACAGGCTTCTGTTTTGGGTTCTTCCGACTGACAAAGACCTTTTTTCTATATTGACCTCTTTCAAGATTTACCACAATCGTTTAGAGCTACTGCGTAAGATCTATAATGTCTTTTAAAATACTTGGTGGTACTTTTTCCAATTAAAACTAAAAGTATCTCGAATAATCCCATTGGAAACCATAATCTAAGTCCTAAAATTATTGGAAAGTTATTCATATAGTAAAAGAAATTTCCGCAAGTTGTACTAAAAAAACACACAATTTTAAATTGCCAAAATTTCACTTTGCATTTATTTTGCTTCTTGTTATTAGTTTTTTGTTAAATTTCTTTTGTTTTTTTTTGTGGTTTCCTTTTATAGTTGCACAAAACTTACACTCATACATACATAGAAAATTACAAACCTATCTGAAAATTGATTTACATTATAGTTGGATCATATTGTGTATACATATATTTTATATATTATGTTAATAATTTCATTTAAAAATACATAATACATAAATACGCCTTTGTTGCTGCTTTAATAATTTTACAATAATTATTATTTAGTTTATACTTTAGCTAATTTGTTTTGCTTTTTTAAAAACCATAGATTACACGTTATCCCTAGATATATCTGTAAGTAGATATCGATTTATTAGCTGCTTGGCTGGCATACATTTTCTGTTCGTTTCCAATTATCTCACCTTCTCACTTCCGTTTGTTCTACATATAAATTGCATAATTGCAGCCAATCTCTAAAGATTCCAGATTTTCTCAATATTCTCGCTCTAAAATTTCCATTCATTTCCGTTTCGTTTCGTTTTTCTTCGTTTTGAGTGTGTATAGCACCTTTGTATCACTTTGCATTAGCTCTAATTTAATTTCCTTTAAAAAAGACTTTATCTTCCAAAGACAAAGACGTGTGAGTAAAAACTAGCTACTAGCTAAAATATACATATATGTATAGTATATAAATCTATAATTATATTCGTACTAATAGTTTTTCAATATTTGTTTGCACTTTACACTCTAATTTCAGTTAGTACTAGGTTCATCTGTTCATCATTATCTACGTTATATCTTTCTGGATCATGCCTCATCCTATCGCTATGTATATCTCGGTTAAAATTTCATTAAAATGGTCTTAACGCCCAACAAGTTGCGCACACTGTCGTTGTATTTGATGAGCACAACCTTCGATGAGCTGAACATGTTCAGCTTTTCGCCGGCGCACAAAAGCTGCAGGCAGGTGGCCTTCTCCAGGAAATCGTCGATCTTGAACTCCCTGAGCAAGTGCTTCTGGCTGCTGGCCAATGCGTTGCTGTTGTTTGGGCAGAGCTGCAAGATGGAAATTGATTTCAGTGAAGTTTGTTAACCAAAAACAAATCGATTTGTTTACAAAGATAGCTTACCTTGTTGAGCAACGTATCCTTCGATTTAACTTTAAGTAAATTGCACAAATCGTTGAGTAGTACCCATTTATCACTGCCCTCGTCTTTGAGCAAGTACAGTGGTGGCAAGGGCACATCGGCCTCTTCAAATTCAAAAATATCACCATTCAATTCAGTATCCATTGTCTCGATGTCCGTCTGATCGTCGTCTAGCCTACTTCTACTGTTCCTACTGTTCGCCTCCATCTCCGCTTCCGTTTCTGCATCCACTTCCTTCTTCACTTCATTCTTGACATTCACAACGCTCGTTACTAAATTATTTTCAACATTTGCATTTAGCTCCTCGTTGTTCTTATTGTTATTGCTATCCTCATCGGCTCCTGGTTCCAATTTGACCATCGTTGTTGCCGCTGTTGTCGTAGTCACCGGTCCAGTCTTTGTTGCACTCGTCTCCCCGTTCTGCTTGATCGATTTCACTCGCTCCTGGTCCAAGTCCTCCGGTTCCTGCTCCTCTTTCTTTGTCGACAACAAGCCGTGGCCGTTGGTGCTGTTACTGTTGCTCATCCTCTGCTGCTTGGCCTCCTTCCTTTCTCTACGTAGAGCTCTGCTCATATCACAAGCTGTATTCGGTACATTATCGAATATATCATAACCATACTCCTTAGCATCTGCAAGAGATTCGTTTCAATGAGTTTTGATCTTTGCTATTTGAAAGGTTCTTCCACTCACCAAAAATTTCCCAAGGCCCGTTGAAGCGCATTGGCTTGATGTCAGCGGCGGCACTTTGTGCATCGCTGAGATGGACGCGCAGAATGCTACGCATCAACTTGCTTGAAGCTAACATTAGCGGGGTTTGACCTGAATTGGGAATTCAATTGGTTAAACATTTTGGGAACACATTACTCTTGTTCTGAGACCAACCTGAGTACGTTGCCAGCAACGGGTCGGCGCCGTAGGAGAGCAACAGACGCACCACCTCCTCGTGGTCGTTCTCAATGGCTCCGTGCAGTGGGCGGATTCCCGCCTGAGCGGCCTCCGAATGATTGGCTCCGAACTGGAGCAGGATCCTGGCGATCTCCAGCCAGCCCTGGGTGCACGCCTCGTGGAGCGGCGTGTAGCCGGCGTTGTCCTTCTGGTCCGGGTTCATGTTCAGGCGATCCAGGCAGTAGACCACCACATCGATCAACCCCTGGCGAGCAGCCTTGTGCATGGTGCTCTGGCCCACGCCCTTGTTGAGCACCCACTTCTGGATCTCGCGGCACACATCCATCTCCGTCTTGACCTTTGGCGGCAGGTGGGAGCTACCCGCAATAGTGCTGTCCGTGTCGTCCAGTCGCTCATCCGCCGCACTCTGATTGGGTTCCAGAAGGTGTTGTGTCAACTGACTGGTGGGTTGGCTTTGACCACTGCTGTTGTGGCTGTGACTCTGGTTTTGGGTGGGCGCCGGTCGCTTCTTCTTGCGGATGTAATCGAAGCCCGAGCTGCCCTTCCTGCGCAGGTACTTCCTCTTGTGCGGACACTGGGGCGCCGAGGCGGACTTGTCCTCCATCAGGGATCTCCTCGCCAACTTGTTGTCGTTGGCACTGGCAATGCTGTTCATCTGCTGCAGGTACTCCTCGTACTTCTGGTAGCTGATCGCATCGCCGGCGTCCGCCTCTTGGGCGCATTCCGGCGGAGCGGAGGCCGGTCGCTCGGGACCAACGAAGATCTCGCGGATGATCTCCCTGTGCTTCTGCAACTTGGACTCCGTGCGGGTCTTGCTCTGCAGCACTTCGGTGTTGAAGATGCTGAAGTGCCGCTTGCTGAGATCATTGAGGGATGGGTTTTCCGAGGCTTCCTGCTGCGGCTGCTCGTACAGGGAAGTCGAGGCGGAGGTCTGCGAGGTTTCGCTGTGGATCTGCAGGTTGGTCGAAGCGGGAGCCGAGACGGAGATCTTTCTTTGCGTTCCCGTGGCACTGCCATTGGTCACCCGCAGATGGAGCACGTCGATGATGGACTTCGGTGTGGAGTCCTGCTTACTGGCTGCTTTCGTCTTGGGCCTGCTCCGCTTGAAGCAGGCCAACTCCTGGCCGAGATCGCGGCGCTCCAAGTCCGGCAGGGAGGCGGCCACTTTGTTCAGTTTGTTGATTGAGATCAGGCGGTGGGGGATTTTCAGGGCCAGCTTGTAGCGATACTCCTCCAGGTACAACTGTTGCTGCGGCGAGGTCTTCACGGGTTTCCCGGGACTACTGCCCACCTTGCCACCCTTCAGCTTTGAGTTCCTTCCGTTCAGGGGTCCCAAGTCCGAGTTCAGGCCTCGTTTGTTTCTCAAGCGCGTCACCATCATCTCCTTCTTGCTGTCCACCACCTTGCGGACGTACTTCCGCTTGATCTTGGTGGTGGAGTTGCGGATGATCTTGTCGTTGCGGAGGACCTTGCTGTTGGCCAACTGGAGTTCCAGTTCCTTGCGATGCTTGGAGCGGGTCATGGTGTTCAGCTTGTGGGCAATGCGTTTCTTGAGTGTGTTCCCCGGACGTCGGCCCACTCGCTTCTCCTTCTTCTTTTGCTGCTCCCCTTCGTCGTCCTCTTCGGGTTCTTCCTCCTCCTCCTCCTCTTGGTCCTCCTCCTCCTCGTCCTCGTCTTCTTCGTGGCTCTCCGAGGAACTGCTCTCCTGACATTCCTGCTTTGGGTTCTCCTCCGCTTTGCTTTTGTTCTGACCGGAAGCATCGAATTGCTTCTTGTTCGTTTTGGTCAGGGAGGTGGTATTGCTATTCTTGTTATTCTGGGTTTTCACCTCCTTTTTAACCTCCTTTTTTGCGGAGGAGGCTTTCGTCTTGCTCTCCTCACTCGACGTTTGACTGCGACTGAGCCGCTGGTTCGTTTTCTCCTGCTCGTCATCGCTGCTCTGCTGGATGCTGGCTGCTTCCGGAGATCTTTGTCGTGTCCTTCCCTTCCGCAGAAGGGGCTTCTTCTGCCGGGCGGAGTTGCGCTTGTGCAGCTCCGTGGTGTCACTCTCCGACGAGCTGCTCTGTCCCTCCTTCGGCGCCAGTCGAGCAGCGATTCTCTGCTCCTGCTGCTGTCGCTTCTTCTCCCTCTCCACTTTGCTGAGTTTCTTTTGGCCACTGCCGTTGCCCAAGGACGAGGAGATTCCGTTGGTGGTCGTGGTCAGTTGGGTGGTGGCCGATTCGGCATCTCCTCCGGCTGGAGGCACTGCCGCCACAGGTTGCCTCTTGAGAATGCGAGCCACGGGCAGGTCGTCTTCGCTGAGCTCCAACTTGATCCCGGTGGCCGGTGGAGGTATCGTCGGTGGCACCACAGCCTTGCTAAGCAGTTGCTCGACGAGATTGTTGCAGGTACTTCCCCAGTCCATCAGGTTACCCAAGCTCAGTTCATCCTCCAGACCCAAGTCGGCCGCCTTCGGAGGCGCTGGTTCCAGCTTGATTTGTATGTGGTTGGTGACCTGGTTAGGAGGAGTCCTCGGAGGCGAAATCGTACTAGAGGCATTCGTGGTGGAGGTCACCAGCACGGGTGGCGTAAAGGTGAATCCCTTGAGCTCCGCTTTCGTGCGAATCCGGGGTTCCGCCTTGGGCATCGCATTGGCGGAGGTGGAGGTGGATTCTGGCATTCCCGCTGGTTGCATTTCCCTTTCCCGCTTGGCGGCCAGCGCCTGTTCGTTTACGGCGATCACAGGCACCGGGGCAACCACAACCACTGAGGTGGGAGCAGCCACCAAAGGTGCTCCTGTGGCCAGAGATCCCGAGGATTCCGCTTCCAGCTTGGCCTGCTTGGCAGCGGCTTGATTGTACTCCTGCAGGTGCCGCTTCCTGCCCAGGTAGTTGGGATTGCTGCTGTTGTGCGGACTCGGCGACGGCGTGGGCATCAGTTCCGCCGTCGGCTTGGCCACCTGGACAATGCTCGTCTCCGGCGGCAGCTGCTGCTGTCGCTTGGCGAACGGATTGGTCTCCAACACACTGGGACGCATTTGTTGCAGGGTTTTGATGACCAGCGCGGGAGCGGCCGCTGCCGGAGGAACTGGAACCGTTGGAACCGTGGGCGGAAGAGGTGCAGGTGCAGATGCAGGTTGTGCAGGTGCGACTGCCGGAGTGGCCGGCGCCTGTCGTATCACAGCCGTTGGCGCCGGACTCGTGGGCGCTCCACTCCTGGTGGCCGCCGAGAAGTTGGGCGTGATGTCGAACCTGGGCAGGCCCAGTCCGCCGCCCAAGGACGCCGGTGGCAGCTTGTAGTCCGTCGTGCTGGGTCTCTGGTACTTGTACTCCGTGGAGTCCGCTGTCTGCTTCACCGTTCGCATGGACAGATCCAGTGGTGAATGGATCGCTGGCGGTGGCTGCGGATGGGGAGCAGAGGAAACTGCCAGGGGAGCGGGTTGAACAGCTGGCTGCTGGATGACTCTACTTGGAGCAGAATGGTTCCTCGCCGGCGGCTCCATGTTGAGCGTCTTCTTGATGATCTGCAGATTCAACTCCTGTTCGCTGGCGGTGTTCCTCTTCAGCATGTCGTTGATTAGCGCACGGTAGTTCGGTTTGGTGACAGCTGGTGCTTTCTTGGCAGGATTGGGATGACTCTGGCTTTGGCTAGCCCCGTGGCTTTGGCTTCCCGGCTGGTAGCAGATGTCCGGTCCGTGCGGATAGACCTGCAGAGTCGAGTAGTTGGCGCTGCCAGAGGATGACGACGAGGCGGGTTGCTGGCTGTTGAGGGGCGGCGGAGCTGGTTGGCTGCTGTGCGCGGGGTTTCCGGAGCCCAGAATCGTTCCTGGCACTCCGCCGGGTGGCGGTGCAGGCGCTGGCGTGGGCGAGGCCACCGCTCCCGCCGCCGGCGACGGAGTACCCTGGTGGTAGTAACTTGAGTAGGGCGTGGAGCTGCCCGCAGCATGCTGCTGCTGTATCAGCTTCCCGTACTTGGTCGGGTATCCGTGTGGCGCCGGAACTGTGGCCATGGCTGGCGAGGAGTCCCGCTCCCTGCTCTCCACGTTGTAGGGGTTGTGGTACAGCGAGGACCTCGTGGGCTGGGGCAAGCTGCCGGTCAGAGCGTGCTCCGGTTCCATTTTCACATAGCTCGAGGTGGCGGCCGTCGGTGGTGGGACAGGTGGTGGTGCTGCTGCCTTGGAGCTCTTCAGCGGCGGCTGTTGGCTGTAGTAGCCAGTGCGTCCGTAGGCGGCTCCACTTCCGGCTGGCACTCCTGCTGCACCGGCTCCTCCCCGCGGATACTCCAAGCTGGGACCCGGGGTCTCCCTTACGTACTTCTCGATCGCATTGTGCACCGTGTTCTTGAACTTCTCCGTGCTGAACGTGGGCATCGGCATGTAGAGGCTCTGGTGGTGCGACGACGAGGAGGAGGACGAGGGCGTTCCCGGGGCAGAGGGCGTGGCCCCGGCACTCCGCTGCTCGGGCGGAGTTTCGTAGTGCGGCGGACACTTCCGGCCGTAGTTGGGACTCGGCTGCTGGTGCTCGTTGCTGGGATTGCTGGGATTGACCACGTGCTCGAGTTCGTAGTGGCGGACGGATGACGAGTTGGCGGACGAGCTGGCGGTGGGCGGCAGCGGCTGTTGCTGTGGCTGCGAGGAGCTGGCTGGCGGTGCGTAGCTGAGCACCTTAGAGGGGGCGGGCACCGTGGAGTACTTGATCTCCTCGCTGTAGTACCGCTGGCTGCTTGGCAGGGGTCCCTGGATCGATCTCGACGAGGCCGTGACTGGCGCTCCGGGCTTCCCGTACGAATACCTCGAAGGCGGCTGGTGGTGCAGCTGCTCCTCGGGTGGCGGCCAGTAGCCAGTGCTGCCTACAGTGCTGGCATAGAGACCGGGATTCCCGTGCTGCCGCAGTCCGGGCGCCGGCGCTGGAGCGGAAATAGCTTGGCTCTTGTAGCTCCAACTGGGATGCGGATGCGGATCGGGCACCTTCTTCGCCGCCAAACTCTGGTTCGACGTGTAGTACTGCATGTGCGGATCGCTGCCGCTGGGACCAGGCGCTCCGGACACTTGGGGCGGCGGATGAGGATGTGGAGCGCCTCGGCTCATGTACATCGCTGCCCGGGATCGCTGATCCTCGGCCAGGGACGTCGGGTGATGCTGGGCATGGTGGTTGCCGTAGCCGGCGGAGGAGGAGGAGCTGCCCACCGAGGTGGAGCTCGTGGGGTGGTGGTGCAGCTGCTGGTAGTGGTGCGGATGCTGCTGCTGGTGGATCTGCTGCGGTGGTGGTTGCTGCTGCTGCTGCTGCGGCGGTGGTGGCGGCGGGTGATGCTGGTGGATCGGTTGCTGGGGGTGGTGTGGTGGCTGGTGATGCGGTTGCGGGTGATGTGGGTGCGCTGGATGGTGCTGCATCGTCGGATGCGGCTGATGATGTGTCTGATATTCGTGATGTCGGTTGGGCTCCATGGTGTTACTCTAGAATATATAGTTCAAACCACTAATTAGTAACTGAAAATGATTCACATCACTTAGTTTTTAAACCTACAACATTTAAATCTCTTATCGTTAAATGGTATTAGCAAGTAAGTCCCTTTATTACGTATATTAGTCAAGATTCAAATTTAATCAAAAATGCAAATTTTTATCTATTAAAATGAAAAATAAAATGGTAAGATAACAAATAATTAAAACCCCAATAAATACATACGTATCTGAGTTTTATAAAGCTTTAACAACTTAAATAGATTTCGTAAATTGATATTGTATTCTGACGGAGCCACTTAATTTGAAAATCAGTTTTACACCAAAAACACCTTTAAAGAAAATTGTCGAGAAAATTGTAAATCGAAAACAATCACATCTTGTAATGCAATGAATTCTATAAAAACAATGAAGTTATAAGATATCAATTTAAATAAATTAACGACAATGGAAATATGTTAACTAGAGCATGACAGCACGAAAGAAGAATACTATTCAATTAAGACTAGGAATCAGTCAACTATACTGATACTTAACAAGTCTCAGTAATAAACAACTGTGAAAGTCACACGAGTAAATTTTTTCTGAAAGCCATAGCTTCCCTATATTTTTGAATATTAATTTAATTAAAATATACATAAATACATACACTATGTATAGTAATCTTTCACAGTTTACAGTGAGTTTAAAAGTTGAGAACGAAAGACACTCATTCTAATATGAACAAGTTTCCCAGCATGATGATGAAATTGCTAAAAACAAATAAGCTTAAAAATTCTATTTGCCTTTTACAATACAAATCGTGGGAGAGAGAGAGGGAGATAACGAGGGAAAGAGAGTGGGCGAGAGGGAAATGCAAACAGTTCAACGACTTTCTAAAGAACGTGCACGAAAATAAACTGACTTTCCAATGAACCGAGCACAGCACAAAATGCCCCAAAATGATTCATAATGGCGAAACTAAGAGAAATTGGACACAAATTTGGATAAGCTCAGAAGTTAATAAGCACAAACAAATCCCAACAAACTCATAAGTAAAAGAAGGTATTTAAGTTTGTTATTTATAAAATATTTAAGGCTAAAAGTTGGTATTAATACTATACAAACAATTAAATTCATTTAGTGCTTAGTCTTTCACAAGTAATTTGACTACCTTTCTTTTTGGTAATCAAATCATTATGATTTAATAAAATCGTTGATTAATAACAACTTTTAATAAATCTGACAATATAAACTTTGTTTGTCATCTTGAGATGCGATTAATTTAAATTTTAATAAGGTTGTCTGTTATTATTTAAAAGCATAAAACAGCTGCAAAGTAATACAATTATAGATAAGAATGTCTCAAGTTGTCTTGCAGTTCGTAAGCTCGTGCTCGATTCGGAATTTCGAATTTCAACCATATGCTATACAGATAAGACCGCCAGTAAATCTACCCCACACTCGTGTTTTAATTTTCGTCAGAACGATTCGCAAAGCATCATTGAAAATTCCCCAACACACCGAGTTAAACGCTTTTAAAGCGCCCCCACCAGCGTTATCAATTTTAGGGGATTGCCAACGGACTGACCGACCCCAAAAACTAGCACTACACTCACGTGTCGTCTGATTAACAAGTTTATAAACAAATAGAGAATAATAAAAAATTATTACAGAGATAAAAACATTAGCGAGCGCAAACGAAAACACACAACTCAAGGCGAAAGGCCGCAGCAATCACATACATTATAAACAAAAACAAATACTAAAAATAAAAATAAAAGAAAACAAATAGTGAGAATTCTTTTTCGATTTGCGCACAAATAGCTGACGGAGTCCGTCAAAAGTTATTTAACGAAATTCGTTTCTGTTTCTGTTGCTGTTGCTGTGTTGTGGGCGTGTTCGACATTGTTAATTGTCATAATCTATATGTAGTGAATACCAAAATATTTGTGTGTACATCTGTATCTATTCATGTTGGCCAGACCTGTTAATTTGTTTAAGGCAGCGTAAACTGCAGCTATAAATACCAGAAAGGATCGCTTAAAACCATTCTAAAATCAGATAATTCTTTACATTTTATTTGGTTTTTCCTTTTTTTTTTTTAGCCTTTTTAATTAATTGGTTTTAAGGAGTACATAATTAAATTGCTTCACATTGCGCTTTACTTATCTCTGGTATAAATATCATAAAAAAACAACATGTGCTAACAAACTAAAGAGTTTATTAAGCTATAATAATATAATAACTATACTGCATGACCAACAATTTAATTATGAATGTCAATTGATGTTCGTGTCCTACTTTGCTACAAATTAAATTGTTTTTGACTTTTCACACCTTTGTAAACACTATTACTAACAACTGCAAACTAATTTTAATAATAATAATTCTGGTACTAAGCACAGTTTAAACTACCCTCGCAAACACTTCAACGAACTCAAGGTCTTAAAAGCCAAACGCATTGAGGTCAAACAAAAGAAAGAGGACAAATACAAAGAAGAGTCAGGAATAAAAACAAGAAAAATTCGTAAAGGAAGGAAAAAAGACAAATTCCCAATGGAAAATGACGAAAGAAATGTTGACTTTATTAAATTTAGTTTATTCTTGCGCTGAGAGCACAAACCTTTGAAATGATTTAACGCACTACCAACTCTTCTTTCTTATTACTAATCCAGTTTTTAATAATCTGCTGCAATCAATTATTTCTGGAATTTTCTTCTTTAAAAATTCTTTTCATTGTTGAAACGAAATGTTTTTGCAACAAATTTTAGGGAAATCAAATCAAAAAGAGTACATATTTATTTATCAATTGTTGAAGAAACTTAAATTCATAATGGTTTGTTTTCGATTCTCGTAATTTATTCTACGTTTTACCAAATGTTTTTTACTCAAAGTTCCTTTCGATTTCCTCAAGTGAATGAACCTGGTGGTTCAAAATCCACAATCTATTCCAATCAACTATAAAGCTTTCCCCTTCGTGTTTAAGCAAACATTTTAATCGCGTTTTCCCTTATCTTCTCTCCTTATGATGTTTATTTGCTTTTAGCTTTTGATTCGGGCATTTGCAATTCAAAATTTAAAGTTTTACAGTGGCCAACAAAGGTTTTTTAGGGGAAAAAAATGAAGAGGCGGTGAAAAATTCCCTCAGCTTGGCCTTGGCTTAAAACAAACAAAAACGGCAACAACAGTTCGGGTTCGAGTTGGGTTGTCGGAAAGAGACAGTGCCAAAAACAAGTCAACACAATAGCAAACATTGCGGCTTGTTTTGTTTTTAGCGCTTTTTTAGCATTTTAATTTGGCATTTGTTGAGCCTGTCGGCTAAAGGTATTGGTTTCGGTATTGGTTTTGCTGCAGCTGTGGATGTGTTTAATGCTTGTTTTTTTTTTGTGATTATTGTTGTTGCCTACGCCGAGCGCTTTGTTTTATAATTTCACATTTCGCAAAAGTTCGTTGTGCTCTTACGTCGCCTTCTCTTTTTCTCGTTCACATTTCGCGTTTTTCATTTCATTTGAGTGAGGCACGCGTGTGTGTGTGTGCTTTTGTTCAACTGTGTGCAGTGCCGCTCGGTGTATTTATATCATTTGCAATAACAAAATAAAAATGCGTCACAAATTTATTTGCACTTTTTCCGTCGGTTACTTGTATCAGGGCCCTCACGAGCACCGCATACATATAGAAAACATTATAGCCTTGACCTCTACAATCTACAAACTGTGGCCACGGGCTAACGTTCTCCCCGAATTTATTATTTCTCACTTTAATTTACATATGTTGTTCATGTGTATATATGTACATACATCTGTACGTATTTATTTATTTGGTTCTGGCGAGTTTTCTCTGAGTCGGCCAACATAAATTATATTACACGTTTTAGCTTCATTTAATATAAAGAAGACAATATGTTTTCAATATTTTTGAGTGTCTTCTTAAATCTTTTTCTTTTTACTGCAAATCATTGATCGTTTATTAAAAGTTAATTATGTATGTAAGCCAAGTAAACTTTGGTTATAGTTATTTGGATAACTTCCTCTTGTAACTATGTTCTAATTATATGTACATATTTCCGTGTCCGAAAATTTGTTAATTTGGGTATGTGTTTTTAATAAATTGTATCTTTTAAAAGGATATACGGTTTAACGGTATATTCAGATTTTATTTTTAATTGTGATAGTTAAGTAAGAATAGTTACTTACTTAATAGTGAGATAGTTAAGTAATAATTGCCCCAGAACCGTTTCATAAGCTTAAATCTACTGAAGTTATTTGCGCTTTGAATGGTAAGAGTACCTACACGTATACTGCTTGGTTTATCGGCAAGCATTAACAAAGAATATTAACCTTTTAGTTTTATTTACTTCGAGGAGGCAATCTAACCCTCATTAAAACTTAAGCTACGTCTGAATAATATATCAATTCAATTTATTTTATTTAAGTTTGAACTAAACCTATTATTATATGGAAATTTGAAAATCAAATTAATGTTCTCACGCTTTACTTGAGAATATTTTTTAGTTTATCGTACTTTTGTTTCTATCATGAGAATGTCTCCAGTTCTCAAATTTTTGATTTTCAAGAAATTATATTCAAATGATTTTTTTGTAGTATTGTGATTATATACACTTATGTTTTACTAAAAGCACTTAAAATATTAGTATTGAAAAAGACAAATATTTATATTTAAGCTTTTAAAACTTTGCCGTTATCTTTAGAGCCGTTAATTCACTAATTTTTAAAAACTGGCACAGTAAAGAAAACCAGAAAGTTGTATGTGTTCACCACTTGCAATACGATTTATTGTCATTGTGGTAGGTATTATAATACACAGTGTTCACGCGTGAAAACAAAAAAGTTTTGGTTTGTAAGATATTTGCATATAAGAATGAAAAGTTGGGATACTTTTGTAGAAGCTAAAAGAGAATGAAAACGAGTGCCAAAACTTGAGCAGATGATCGTCCAAATGATTATGATAATGATGGCAGAACACATGATCATTGAGATCTTTTCTCCTCGCTG